GATAATAGGAAAAATAAGGTTTTCTTTGTTTGTTTACGTGGGAAAGTTGACAATGGCACGTGCAATAAGCAACCTTATCCATTTTCTTGACTTTAGATCACAAAGTTGTAAAACACATTATTAGCGGTGAGGTTATGACAGTTAATAATTTTATTAAGATTATTAATTTTATTGCTATATAATTTTTTTCTTTAATAATTAATTATAATATGTAAAAGGAAAATTATTAGTATATATTTCAATTCAATACATCTGTTAACATGTATTGATTTAGTTATTAAACTCTATAATTGAAATTTTTTTATTTAAAATTCAAATTTAAGATTAATAATTTTCAATAAATGTAATATGAAATATTTTGATGAGTCAAAGGGTGTTGGGTGTATCAATCATTGTTCTACATGAAGATATCTATTTTTAAACTGATTTTAATAAGTTAAATAATAAATATTAATTATTTTATCAATTATCAAATATTTTTAACCATTAGATTAAAATAAAAATTTAACAATTTTTTATGACCCTAAAAAATTAATGGTGGCCATAACCATAGCCCATTATTAGATGTATAACCAGAAAAAAAAAAAGAGAGGAGACTTTATGTCGTTGCACTAAGAGGGCTAACTTGGATAAAAGTACAAGTTTAAAGGTTTGATTGAACAAAATACACTTGCCAAGATTAAATTGTATTTCAGAATGAAACAAGTACATGGGCTCATTGTGTGATATGTGCACCTGAATATTGACCAAAGGAAGATACTTTGAGTTCAGATCACAGAAAGAATTGAATCCAATAAACATTAATTCTCACGGACAATAACAATTACAGAGAAATAGTTCTGTTGGTGCCTTTTAGCAATCAGGAGATTTGCATAAATGAAGGGAAAAAAATGGCACATGCTTGCATCACCTCAGCTGGTTAGAGAATGTGCTATGGTGCAGGAGGTAATGTAGTCATTTGCCTTGTTAATCCAATATGAGTATCCCAAAGGAGAGTAAAGATGAGACTAATGCTGGCAATCGCTACAGGAAAATATGGACTTCAAAGCTCCAGCTGCGACAAATGGATGGCATGGGATGCTCAAACAATGTTCAAAATCCGTTTGGTGCTGAGACATGGAGCAAACTATTCCATGAGCAATAGAGGGGAATATCTGCCCTATTTGATACCTCTCCCCACAGCCTTTCAGTATAAGTGCAGGAAATCAATAAATGATTCACTTTTTCTGCCTTGCTTTAGTGAAGAGCCTGTCCAGGATAGAATTTTAGAAGTACTATATCAGTTTCAACCAAGGCACCTTACTGTGTTTTTCCCTTAAATGATTCCATGTACATTGTTTTCAAAAAACTCGGGGAGAAGTGTAACCACAGAAAAGCATTCGCACAAACCTGGCTGGTTGGGATATAAGGACAGCTCAGGAGATTCGACAGCAGGCCATTTCCAAAAATCACCTTGAATCACTTTGGATAATTCAAATGTACTGGTTACTAAATAATTTAAAAAACAAGTAATTAAAGTGCATGCTGCGTGCTTATATAACATTCAAAATAAGAAAAAAGGAAAGTTGGGAACTTTTACCCAGTAAGGGAGACCAAGCTCTCTCTCTATGAAACTGCAATAAATGGGTACCCCGAATGAAGTCCATGAATTTTAAGCCGCTTAACAGATCCATCCATGGGATCGTAGAGAAATAATGTTCTTGGTGCTATGTGATATTTGTATTGATATAAGACTCGACCATTTAGAGTGAAAACAGAAGGACTCAGTGGCCCATCACCTACACAAACATTTGGAACCCTGAACGATCTGATCCAAGACTTTGTGTTTGTTACCTTATCTTCTTTCATTATCCAGAACTCGAAATAGAGAATTGTGGAACTGTCCATTAGACAAAGTGAGCCTGGTAAAAGTCCCAAATTAGAAAACAGTTTATGCAATATGTCCATATATAGAGACGCCTCTTCTACCATTCTCTCACTCTCCAAATCGAAACTTATAATTCCCATAGAAGCATCACATTTCCAACCAAGCCAATAAAGACAGCTGCAAGCAACAAGAACTGCCGCCGTACTAGGAAAGTAATGTATGTCCATGTTTTTGAATCGAACAGCATTCCACAACCCTGTCTTTATCTGCAAGCATTCAATCGTTGTTTCAAGAGGGGAACCAGTGACGAATATCGCCTTAAAATTATCATCAATGTTAGAATCAAAACCGAACCCAAAAACTTCCCATTTGATACGTTTTGGTATCAAAAATCTCTTTTGTTCCTTGGTCACCGGGTTCCAAACTACAACATTATTGTCAATATGCTGTGTATTCATACATAAGATTCCACCTCAATGGATGACGGCTGGAATAAGCTCATAATACGTTAGAGGAGATTCGTATTCTGTTAGTTGAAGATTGTTTTCGTCGAAATCAGTATGCTCATCGATCCTCCATTTAAAAAACGGATAACCTAAGAGAAAGATATCCTGGTGATTGCCTGTGTTGATACTCTTGAAGTGGTTTCTGATGAATTTTGAATCAGAAATTACAACACCCCATTGCCTCGATAAGCATTTGAATCACATTATAGACTTAACTGGAAGCTTGACCATAATTTTCACTACCAGCTTATCAAGGACATGCTCTTGTATTGTTGCTGTCATCATATCTAATTTAGCCAAAGAATGGAAAAAAAAAAAAAAAAACTTAGTATTTCTTTTATGAAGAATTATAATCCCTGTTAAGTTGGAAAATCCCAAAAAAGAGGAACTATATGAATCTAAATGCCAACTGTTGATGCATAAAAAGCAACAAGATAGAAGGAAAACAATAGATAAGAAGAGTAAGAATACAAGATTTACCTGGAAAATCCTAATGAGAGAACAATTCCAGAATAGATGAATAACTTCAAAATATAGTAAAAGTACAACTAGACTTCTTCCGCTTTAACTGGCCAGTCTGGCCTGTCAACTTGTTCAACTCTTGTTCTCAATACGGGAGAGTGGGGTTTATATATAATTATATATATATATATGGATATTATAATCGTAGTCCAAGTCTAAGTTGACTTTTTTAAAGAGAATTTCTTTGCTTGTCTCCGATTAGAACACCTTGCAGTAGTTGAAGTAGACTTTTAAGGAGTGTTGTATTATTATCCCAATAATAACAATATTCAAAATTCAACCTCCTTGCTCATAAAGTCGCACCATCCCAAATGTGAGAAAATACAGGTTACACATCTATGTTTCGCAGATGATTTGATCATTTTTACTGATGGCAGTGCAGCCTCACTTGATACCATTGATGATGTATTGAAGCAATTTTATACATATCTGGGCTAAGGTCAACCATCACTGCAAGAAAGAAGCTAACTGCCTGCATCTTATTTTTTGCGTTCGTACCAATCACTAGCCAACTATTTTTTTCGGTTTTTAACCGGTTATACTTTAGTGGGGTTTGAGCGAAACACAGGTGGATTCTTGCGCTTTATTTATTAAATGCAGGGAATTAATTGAAAAAAAAAAAAGGAATTGAAATAAGACCAAATCTAATAAAAGAGCAAGGCAAGGAATTGGAAAACAATTTATAGTCGAGTTCTAGAATGCATTTTCCCCAAACTTTAATTTTCATTTCCTCCAATTTCTCCACGAGCTCATGTCTAACTACGATTTCGATTCCGATTATCCTCATTCTCGATTTCATTTTGATTATCCTTCAGCTCAATATCTTGCTGTTATCGTTGAGTATTATCACATTATGGATTCCGTTTGGTGGATTTGAGACTCACCGTAATCGTAGCCATCGGTGGGTGTCGGGGGAAAGATAGAAGCACCTGAAAACGATAGCGTCTCATCCCTTCAACAACGATGGCTACGTTGGCTACAATCCTCACCTTCCGTCTCAGTGATTTGACTCGTTGTCCAACTTCGACGCTGGCTCAGTCAAGGTCTCGGTCAATGACTCGCCACCAATATTCAGCGGTCAATCATACGGCTCTGGAGAAGAAGTGTTCGTATCACAGCTACTCCTTGAGACCCCGTCGTCGCTGCCACCAATTGGTGGTTGCGGTGGTGGATTCTCGAAACTCTCAGCTGAGAAGAACAGAAACGATCTCGATCATAGTGTTTTGGTAACCAAAAAACACTGAGAAGCCCAAAAAAGAAAAACTTTTCCTGCATTTGAGTAATTGCTGTTGACCAAAAATGCAAGTAAAGACGTCAACAATTTGGGACTTTTGACATGGGTATCACCTGTGTTCTTCGAGCAATTTCTCTGCATTTTTAATAAATGCAGGATAAAATAAGTTTATACCAATGTTCGCATTAAATACAGGTATGGTATTTATTGGCACAGTCTATGCTAACATTCGAGTGGCATTTATGTAAATGGCAATAACTTTTTTACCTGCATTTTCAAATGCAGGTAAAGACTTAAACAAATGCAGAAAATCGACCTTTTTCTTGTAGTGTATGCCGAGTCTGAACTCTTTTCCTGTGGAATGCGTGAGACACACATCATGCACCTTGCTGAGAGGTTTGGATTTAAGATTGGTTCCTTACCAGTTCGATATCTTGGGGTCCTACTGATCAAAGCAAAGCTATCTAAGAAAGATTTGCAACCCTTGATTACAAAGATAACAGAGAGAGTGTATCCTAGACAGCAAAGCATCTTTCTTTTGCTGGGAGACTACAACTCATCACTTCACTAGTACAAGGCATCACGAATTCCTAGAAATTTCAAAACTAGGCAAACCTGAAATTGGCTAATGGGAAAGCCAGATAGAAAGATATGGTAATTTAGTGTCATGATTGGAGTCCCCTTTACTTTATTCGTGGCAAGGTTATTGCAATGGATGGGAAAGAGGATTAGGAGAAAGTCTTTGCAAAATACCATGATCAAGTTAGCATGGAATGCAGCATTGTATCACCCTTGAAGGGAAAGGAATAGGAGGATTCACCAAAGAGTTTCAAAGCTGATAATGAGATTGTCTATGATGTTAAATTTGATGTAAGATGTAAGATTTTGGGATTTGCAAAACCGGCAGTTGCTCGCGAACATGTATGGCTCTTGATAGCTTTTAGGGGTCTACATTTTTCGTAGCAGCTCGTTTGCTACTTTATTATACATTTAGTTTACGGATAAATAAAAACTTTCATATTTTATAAAAAAAAAAAAGTTGAAATATTAATAAATATAATTTTTTTTTATGAAAAAATATTCTAATTTTATAAATTCTATTAATTTGAAAATCTTATAATTATTTTATATGACTTCATGATTATTAAAAGAACAGTAATCTTTTTAAACAAAACTTCTATAAAAACCTATAGTTAAAGCAAGCAAATCCAAATCTAAGTTTCTGCTTGCAGAATAAAAAAATAAAACAAAATGCAAAACGTAGTTAAAAGAAAATTTGTTTAAAAAATAATTAGTACACACTTAATTTAATATATTTTATTATATTTATCTAAATCTAATTATTAAAATATAATATAAATACAATGAATTTAATTAATTTTTGTATTTTATTTATATGATTATATTTTTAAATTTATTTTTTTAATTTTATTTTAAAAATAATAACTTTTATTAAATGTATTTTTAATAAATATATTATATATTATATTAACTCAAAATATGCATTAGTTACCCTCCTATCATTTTAATATAGCACTAGAATTTGAGTTTCAAAGCGATTAAAAAATTTTCACTCTAAGATTGTTCTCAAGTCACGAACAAATCACCCATGAGCGGGTGGATGAGTTGGCTGAGGACTCTTCTAGAGGTCTTGAGTTCAATCCCTGGAAATACAGCTCCGTTAAAACTCATGAGGAAGAGTTTTGCCACCCATTGGGTCATATCCGACTCAAATTCGGATTAGTCAATGGCCCAATGGGCTTCTGGATACCGGATGGTCATACCAAAAAAAAAAAAGTAACGACCAAATCAAGTTAATGCCAACCATCATCCCTCAACTATAAAAAATAATTCAATTTAAACCTTCTACTTTCAATTTGCCTCATGTCCTCCCTCTATTATCAATTAACTACACATGTTCTCCCCTAGTATTGAAAAAGGTACCAATGTCATCCCTCTGTCCAACTTTCATCCAATTTTGAGGTAACAAATAGTTTGTCCATCGTTAACCATTAACCCCTCAGGCATCCAACCCCCCCCCGCCCCCCCCCCCCCCCCCCCCCCCCCTTTTTTTTTCAGCTGGCCTTTAGTGGGCCCTACTAGCCCACATCAGCTGTTCTTCGGTTTGAACAACAAAAACCCTATCCCAAGTTTGATGGTGAATGGCAGTGTTTGTGTGCCCCAGTAGTTGGCGCCTCGTCGATGAATAGCTGATTCAATTGCTTCGCCTCACCTAGTTGGATTTCAAACTCGAAATTCATAGGTAACCTTATTTTGCTTGCTCCTAAAAACCTATGTTCATTGCGGGTAAGGTGTTGGGTCTGTTACTCTATAAAAGAATGCAGTTGCATTCATCTCCAACTTGGAGAAATGTTGGATATTCGACTACCCATTTGAGTTTCCTTTTAGATTTTGCATCAATTTCTCAAAGCAAACATTTCTCATTTACTGTCTTACCTCATTAATTCATGTGGGTTATCCCCTGTATCTGCTAAATTGATCTTGAAACACGTTTAGTTTCAAGATTTAGTAAAGCCAAATTTAGTCCTCCATTTGCTCAAAAACCATGGATTCATAGATGCTCATATCTCTAGAATTGTTAGGGTACATTCGCTAGTGCTTTCATTAAATGCTAAGAAAATTGTTTTGCCCAAACTTGAGTTCTTTCATTCCATTGGGATTTTGGGTGCTAACCTTGCAACTCTCATCTCCAAAAACCCAAGTCTCTTTGGATGCAACTTGAGCAAAATTATTTCTTGTTATGATTTCCTCAAGAGCTAGCTTTTTGACAGTGAAATAGTTGTTAAATCCTTGATGAAGACTTCATGGATTTTACAGGAGGATGTGCAGTGGAATGTTTGTCTCAATATCTCATACTTGAAAGCGGTTGGGATTCTAGATTCCACTATCTAGCTTTTGTTGAAAAAGGCATCAGAGTCATTATGCTTGGATACTAATAAATTCAATGAGAATGTGAAACAAATTCTTAGTATGGGATTCAACCCTTCAAGTTATGCCTTTTTCAAGGTTATTAGAGCTTGGCCAACCAAAGAAACTGGGAAACTCAAAGCAGAAGTCTATAGAAGTTAGGGTTGGTTTGAAGATGAGATCTTGTCAACTTTCAAGAAATTTCCTTCACTTATGTGTATATCAACAAAGAAATTTACAAGTGTGATGGATTTTCTAGTGAACAAGATGGGTTGGCATCTTGCAGCTGTTGCTTCATTTCCATTTGTCCATGCTAGCAGTTTAGAGAAAAGGATCATCTCGAGGTATTCTGTTATAAGAGTTTTGTTGTTAAAGGGTTTGATAAAGGAGGAAATTTTTTTTGTCTATTGTGGTAATATCCCAAAGAAGTACTTCTTAGATAAATTTGTGTTCAAGTATGAGAAATCGATCCCTCAATTGTCGAATATCTTCCAAGGGAAACTGGACCTTTTAGAACTAGGCCTAAGTTTTGAAGGAAAGATTGATGCTAAAGTCAGAAATTTTTTGCTGTGGAATGCAACCTAATGAAATAAGGGAGCTAGCTGATTTGTATGGCTTCAAAGTAGGAACCCTTCCTGTTAGATACCTTGGGGTACCACTTATAACTGGAAGACTAACAAATGCTGCTTTAAAGCCTCTCATCACAAAAATAACTGAGAAAATCAGTTCATGGACTTCCAGATATCTGTCATTTGCAGGAAGATTGCAACTTATTTCATCTGTTCTTCAAAGCATAACAAATTTTTGGTGTTCTATTTTCATTCTACCAAAAAGAGTAATTAAATCAGTGGAGGGAATTTGTAATGCCTTTCTTTGGAAAGGTAGAGTAGCTGATGCAAGAGGAGCCAAGGTAAGTTGGGCAACAGTATGTCAACCAAAGATGGAAGGAGGATTAGGCTTGAAGCCTTTGCATATTTGGAATATGGCTTGCATTTTGCGATTCATTTGGCTACTTTTCACCAAGGCAGGCTCTATTTGGGTGGCACGGGTGCAAACATATTTGCTTAAAGAAAAGAGTTTTTGGTCAGTAGGAATTCCTGCAGACACTACTTGGAGTTGGAGAAAAATCCTAAAACTTAGAACATATGCTAGACCTCTGGTGAAGCATATGGTTGGTAAAGGTGACACTATTTTCCTCTGGTATGATTCTTGGCATCCCAAGGGACCTCTTATTGAAGCATATGGGCAGAAAATTGTACGAGATGCAGCCATTCCCTCTCAAGCAAAATTGTCTCATGTAATACAAGGGGATTATTGGAAATGGCCTCCCGCTAGGTCCCCTGAACTATTGCAGATTCAAATTGCTTTGTGTGGAATGTTATATCCTAATCAGGCTATGGAGGATCAGGTTGTTTGGTTGGCTTCTCCATCAGGTTCTTTTCGAACAGGTGCTACTTGGAACTTCCTTAGGCAAAAAAGATCTAAGGTACCCTGGTTTAGACTCATTTGGTACTCAAATTCTATCTCCAAACATAGTTTTATTGCTTGGCTGGCTATATTAGATAGACTCTCTACTAGGTCCAGGCAGAAGAATTGGTCTTCTTCCATTGATGACACTTATGTGCTATGTGGGAATGCAAGTGAAACTAGGAACCATCTCTTCTTCTCCTGTCCCTACACTACTCATATTTGGGAAATGATTTCTTCTATGCTGGAAATCCCATTAAACTGCATTTGGCAAGATGCTTTGGATTGGTTATGTAAGAGAGTTAAACATAAGGCATTGTATAGCTCTCTTCTTAAATTAGCTTGGTGTGCATCAATATATCATCTATGGATTGAAAGAAACAGCAAGATACATAGACAGCTATACAGAGCTCCTTCAGACAGCTATACAGATCTCCTTCTGCAATAATTGATATGATTCAAATGGATGTCCGAGACAAAATATTGGGGTCTGTAAAGGAAAGGTCTTCTCCTATGTCAAGGAAAATTGCAGCTCAATGGAGATTAGAAACTTTATGTACAGCTAAGGTTTGAACATAATTTAATTTAGAAGTTATTTCATTTTTTTGTACTAACATTAGTAGCAACCTTAAAAAGAGCTGCTTTGTATAAATTTTGGAAATAAATTCACATTTTACCAAAAAAAAAAAGGGGTCAAATAACAGTTAAAAAAAAAAAAGATGAATTCCTGCCTATAGGCTCCGTGTGAGAAGAATGAGGCAGGAAGTCTATGGCAACTTCGTGCAAAGGGAAGAAGCCTTGTGAGATTTGATTTGATGTTGTTAGGGCCCAACAAAGGCTAGCTGTTAAACAAATAAAGAAAAGGTTGGATGTGTTAATGGTTAATAGTGAACAAAGTGTCCATTACCTCAAAATTGGACAGACCTTGAATGGAACTTGGATGGAGGGATGACATTGACACCTTTTTAAATAGTAAGGGGAGGACATGTGTAGTTAATTAATAGTAAAGGGATGACATGAGGTGAAGCGAAAGTAGAAGGTTTAAATTGAACTATTTTTGATAGTATAGTGACAATAGTTGGCATTAACCCCAACGAAATTCGATGAGAAGATTTTGAACCACCACCTCGCGTTGTGAAATTTCTGATTTGTTTTGGCACTTTTTTGTTTGTCAAACTCAAAACCCAATGCTAAGCCCTTTTACTTTTTCTATTTTCCCACAAAAACCCTCAAAGAAGAAAATGGCATGTAAACCGCTGAACACTCTCACATTTGAGCAAATTAAAACCCTTATGTTAATTGAGGATATCACGTTCGATGAGTTAACAATCGTTTGTTTTTCTTACGTTGCAAACGCTTTACACTTAAGGTGCTGATGTGGAAAGGGACCAAAATGGGCCTTTAAACCACTTCAGGCGATAATGTAAGGTTGTATTTTGGTTGGGTATACTCTAGAACTTGGGATTTTGACATGTTAAGTACTCTCCTTAAAAAAAAGATTAATATCTTCTCAATCATTTGAGTAATTATATACTATATAGAGGAAAAATGATTATTCAGCTTCTTCTATAGCCCATAGAGATTGAGGAGGTAAAATGCAAAATTAAGAAAAGATGATATTGATGAGGAAAAGGCTCCTTGCTGGAGTCGCAAGATGAACAAGATTGTAAGAATTATCATTTCTAGTTTTCATAATATTTGGATGGGTGGCTGCACTGGGAGAAAGTACCAAGAACAGGCAGCAAGCATGCATAAGCTACTCTGTAGCTCCACCAACTACAATAGGCCGGTGCAACTTTGTCAAAATGACCACACAAGTCCACAAAAATGGCCACCCAAGTCCATCAAAATGGCTAACTCCCAACTGTATTTTGCTTTTCATTTATTACCTCTGTTGGATTTTGCCTATAAATAGCCATGTTCTCTCTATTGTATGCATTAAGTTTTAATAAAAAATTCCAGTTTATAATTCTCCTCTGTTCAGTGAGTTTTTGAGAGTGTATTTTTCTTAATTTATCTTTGTATTTTACGTCTTACCAACCTAAGTGGTGTTCCAAGCAATTGAATTCATCGTAGTGAGATTCTAAATCTCACCAAAATTGGTGTTTCCGTATCGGCTCCTGCACCAGTGGCCCTTGGCATAGGAAACAAAAATCACCCCGGTGAATGATCCGATGTTGTTGCCGATTGCTAGAGACTAACAGATCTAACTTCCCATGTAGTAAATCGTTGATCTGTCACGAACCAAAGCTGGAGACCTAATTCGGCTTAAGCTCACCGGGTAATAGAGAGAAAGAACCGACGTCGGAGAAGAAAGGACTTAAGCTCGCTAGAGAAAAGACTTGCGCACTTGGAAGAATCTACCATTAATTGCAATTGAATTATGGATTTGAGTTCATGCGTTTATGCATTTAGGATATCTTTGATTTCCCAACTTACCCCAAATTAATAGTGAACCTTGTTTACTACCATAAAAGCTGCAGATCAATTACCCATCAATGGCATCATGGATAGAGACAACGAAATAGAAGCCCTACCTCTCAAAGAATAAAAAAAAAAAAAGGCAAATATGAACCATTCTGTAAAAGAAACAAATCACATAGTCATTTGTTATTATTTACAGTCAACATCAACTGGGTTGACAGAAATGATTTCACTGTCAATAGCCAATGTATGCGAAGAATCATTGACTCGGTAAGAGGTAAAGTTGTTATCGATATCTTACATCCTTGTCTTTTATGTCAATATCTAACCAAAAGAGACCTCCTCCAATCTCGAATCCTCATGTAGAAAAGAACCAATCATATACTACATACTTATGAGAAACTCTAAATTGATAATAGGCTATCATGCAATCTATTTTCTTCCCTTCTAAAAGCTAATGGGCGTGTATATATGTCACTCAAAGGCTTAAAGCTCTTGTACTTCCCTTGAACTAAAAAGTCAGACAATACTCTAACACCGAACGTGATGGTCCCTAACAGAGTATTGTATGTAAGTACCTCTGATTATGATATGATCAGCCTCAAGAGGATGCTCCAAACCCATGCCAACCAAGTGAAACAATGGTAGAATTGCAATATGGCTAACAATCCCGCGGGATGAGGAGTAGGGAAATCGTTTTCTGGGAGTAGAAGAAGACCCTGCTCAAGAGTTTGAAGATCAAATATGCAATTTTATTAAAGATGCATGTCTATAATTTTGTGTTTAATAAAATTATGAAACAATAAATCTATAATATTTACCAATCCTTTGTTGACTTGAAAGGTAAAATTCCCCATGTTGAGTAGGATGACTCGTTGATTAGCGTGGAGTATGATTAGCCTTTCCACTCCTATAGCTGTTAAAAAATTATTGTGAAGTTAAAATTAGACAATCACTTTAAGCTTATTCAATCAATCGTGTAAAGTTTTATTACCTTGTGTTTGGTGGTCCTCATTGTTGATGATTAAAAGGATATGAAAGAAAGTACAAGGTGATATAGCAAATGCAGGGCGTAGCAGTTGAGAGTCATAATCAAAATGGACATCAAATTGATCCACATCGCGAAACTCCCTCTGTAGATTTATCACTGGCAATACCCCAACAGCCGCAGGAATTGTCACAAAATTTGAAAGAAAAAGCATAGAAAAATAAAGTTTCGGAAACAAGAAAAGCAATTGAACAATCAAGCATCCGCGACTCATACAAAACCCTAAGAATCTCCTCCTCTAATCCTCTCTTCACATGATGGCATAATTTATTGTAAGACCGTGAATCACTTAATAACAATGAACAGAATTAATCAGCTAATAACAACTGTTTTGTGAAAATTGTGCATTTGGGTTCAACACAAAGCTTGCGTCCAACCTAAAACCAATTGACAATAGGTAGAGTAGTCTTCTTTGTATTTAATCCACAAGCTTTTTTGTTTTACACTCGATGTGGGATTTTCCCACTTAACATGCCTCTTCACGTGCAAACCTGCTATGGATGTCGGGTCTTGTCACGTGGCTTAACACATCCCTTTACATGCAGGTCTGATATCAACTTCAACTTCAACTTTGGATCCTGTCAGGTAGGCTAACAATGGGTTTCCTAAGATAGAATCTGGACTTTGATACCATGTGAAAATTGTGCATGTGAGCTCGACGCAAGATTTGCATCCAACCTAAAACCAATTGGTTAAGCCCAAATTCTATCTTGGGAAACCTATTGTTAGCCCACTTAACAGAACTTGAAGTTAAAGTTGATACCAGACTTATGTAAAAGGGCATGTTGAGTGGGATAATCCCATATCGAGTTTAAAACAATGAAGATGTGGGTTAAATATAAGAAGGGTTACTCTACTTATTATTAATTGGTTTTAGGTTAGATCCAAGTTTTGTATTGAACCCACATGCACAATTCTCACATGGTATTAGAGCCCAAATTCTATCCTAGAATGCCCATTGTTAGCTTATCTAATAGTACCTGAAGTTAAAGTTGATACCGGATCTGCATGTAAAAGGGCATGTTGAGTGGGAGATTAAAACAACGAAGTATGTGGTTTAAATATAAATAAGGCTACTCCATCTATTACTAATTGGTTTTAGGTTAGATGCAAGTCTTGTACTAAGTTCACATGCACAATTTTCACATGCACAATTTTCACATGGTATCAAAGTCCAATTTCTATCCTAGAAAGCCCATTGTTAGCCCACCTGATAGAATCTAAAGTTAAAGTTGATATGGGGCTTGCATGTAAAAAGGCATGTTGAGTGAGAAACCACATCGAGTTTAAAACAATGAAGTATCCAATTAGTTTTAGATTGGATGCAAATCTTGTATTGAATCCACATGAACATTTTTCACATGTTCAACCAATAATCCATCAAGAATCAATCAAGAATTTTATTTATCGATGTTTGCATTAAGATTCAGTTCAATAATGTGTGCATTGAAAAGTCTTTCCGATTAAACTAGAGAGGCTTCGTTCAATAGAACCCCGAGGATGTCCACCTTTGCTACCCCATTAGGGGGCAACACTAAGGAAATTCTTAATAAAAAAACAATCAAGAATAATTAGGCTCAAGATTCTATCTCTTCCCAATGTCATATCGTGCAAAAGCCTGTTCAGAATAGAAGCATTGTTAACTTGGAATCTTACTACCATTTCTGAATATTTTTTCTTGTATTCTAAATATGGTGGGCAATTGCGTGCCCATATGTGTTACCGAAACCCCTGAAAGGGAATATGAACCATAAAATATTTGTGTTTTGAAAATCAGACCCATATAAAATCTATGGGATCAATTGACCCCTTTCTTTTCAAATGAATGAAGTTAATTAGTCTCAATTCAACAAATGAATGAAGTTAATTAGTCCCAATTCAACAAGTGATGTCAAACTTTTTGTCTTCTCCTCCCCCATCCCCTTTTTAAAAAATTTTTTGAATTGTACAATGAAAAGTAACAATTTCTCATGTCTTTACCCACTCTTCTT